GGGAGCAAGGATGTCCCCAGGACACAACATGTTGATCCTCAGGATCTCAGGTCCCTTCAGCTGGAGCTCACAGGGCAGCAGGGAGGGAAAAGTGTTGACCCTGCCCATCCTCACACTGCACCAGGGCAGTGCCTGCAGCCCCTGCAAGAGATACAAACTGTGTTCCTGACCAAGCAGGTCCTGGGAACAGCAGGGCACATGCCAGCATGCCAGCAGAGGCAGGCAGCTGGCAAATTCCTTCCTCTCAAGGTTGGGGATGAGCAACCAAATCCAGAGCGTTGGCTCTTAGGGAGCAGCTCCAGAACTGCGTGTCTACCCAAGGCAGGGGCTAGAGGCTGCCTGCACCACAGGAAGATGAAATCTGGGGACACTTGGAAGCCTCGCTAAATGCCCTCACTCCTTTCCTCCACTTTATCCCAGTCAGGATGCTCCAGCAGCAATAGCAGGGGAAGAAAAACATACATCACCAGAAAACGTATGTCCCAGGCTATCACACAGCTGTAACCAAAGCAAATGCAGCATTTCTCCAAGGCAGCTACAGGAAAACATCCTCCACTGACTGCCTTCTTCAAAACAACTCCTTTCCACATGCCCCAAGCTTTTGTTCCCAGCCTTCCTCCTCCCATCTCTCCATTCCCTGCCCCCAATGGCTTCGGTGGAAGGCTATTTCTGGCTGATAATAAATAATTTTCCGACTCCAGAAAAGCACAGTGGTATCATAGGCCCCAGTACCTGGGCTGGCTCGATGCAGGTGACGGGGGAGCAGGATCAGAACCGAGCACACCTGGGCTGTGCTCACAACTCCAGCTTTTCCAGCGAGGTTCAGGTGTATCGCCAGGAGGTTCAAACCTGGTCCTCGAGGTTCAAGAGGATCCTCCCAATTCCTTTCCACAAAGCAGCTCACACTCTGGGGAGTCAGCAGCGAGGACCCAGCCCTTCAGAGATGTTTCTGCCACCGAGGCTCAGCTCTCTACTCACCTCTAGTTCCTGTTCCACCCTCCTTGTGGTGACCAGCTCCAAAGGGTGTGTTTGCCCACCGAGTCCTCCAGCCCTGCTGGCTTTGGTCCAACCACTTTGTCTATATTAGGGTTACTCACACAAAGACTTATTGCATCAGGTCCTCAGGCTAGCAGAGCTGACAGGAAAACACCTCCCTGCCTGCCATCCTCCAAGCACCCTCACACTGCTGAGTGCAATGCTCCGCTCGCCTCTTCCTCAGAGAACAAAGAGTCTTGCTGGGCACAGAGGAGAGAGAGGCAGCACATCCGTGAGCATAAACCCTCCCGGTGCCCCCAAAACGCATGGCATGAAGGAGATCATCGCCAGCTGGAGCAGCATTGGGCTGCAAAAAGCTTCTGAAGAAGCAACTCTGTGATTCCTCAGCCCCCAACTCGCCAGATTCCCCCCGTGACTCAGTGCCAGAGGATAAGGAGAGGGGCTTGCAGCAGCTGCCCAGAAAAAACCCTACAAATATCCCCAGGCTTGGGGAGTGAAGTCACCAAGCCCTGGGGGTCGCATACCCAGCTGACATCTTCAGAAGCGGATACAGACACACAGAGAGTGGGGGCAGAACAACTTCCACAGCGGGCATGAGCGAAGGGACCTGGGCTGGGCAAGGGGAGCGCGAAGTGACAGGGGGACCGTCCTGAGGGATGGTCACGGACCCAAAGGTCTGTCCCAGGGCACGGAGGGTCTGTCCCAGGGCATGGAGGGTCTGTCCCAGGGCATGGAGGGTCTGTCCCAGGGCACGGAGGGTCTGTCCCAGGACATGGAGAGTCTGTCCCAGGGCACGGAGGGTCTGTCCAAACGGAGAGAGGGCAGAAGCGCCACGCACACCTCGGGACCAGCCGTGGGGAGGACACTTCCCTGCAGGTCCCCGTCCTGGCTGCCAGCGGGGTGAGGCAGTCCCGGCCAGCGCCGCCCTCCCACCGGACTGCCCGGAATCCCACCCGGGGCACGGCGGATCGTGTTATCCCCGTTATCCCGTTATCCCCGGGGCATCCCGCCGGTACTCACCGCCGGGCCGGGCCGGGCCGGGCCGAGCAGCTCCCGCGGGGCTGCGGGCTCAGAAGCTCCGCACGGCCGCGCCCGCCCCTCGCCATCACCGCCCACCCGCCCGTACGGGGCTGGCGAGGGGCGGGCGGCGGGCGCGGCCGGGCTCGGCTCCCCCCTCCCGGAACGAGCATCATCCGTTCCTGTTAAACACTAAAAAAAAAAAAAAAAATCCACCCCAAAACTTCTTCTCGGGCTGCTTTTGCTTCGCTGTTTGGAGGGAAAAAAATAAAAAAATACATCTAGAAAATTATTTTCCATGTTATGCACTCAGATGCAAGGAAAGATATAACTTTGTTGGATCAACACTCGTCACTTTTAAGCAAAACTACTGGGTTTTGTGCTTTTTGGGTGTAAGCAGGGTTTTCCATGCCCAGCCAATGTGGGTGCTGCTGGTGCTGGAATCATTCAGGCCTGGACTGCGTCCCGCTGATTCGGCTTCCTGTGGGAAAAAGATGGTTAAAGAAGGAAAACAAGCAGGCCCCAAATGCACGGCCCAGGCGTGAAGGGCTGGCCGGTGTCACACCGACCCATCACCCACTCAACCCCAAGGAGCTCCCTTCGAGGCTGGTACCACTGGGGGCTGTCCCCAACGTGCCATTAGCAACCTCACCCAGCCCTTGGTGGACACATCTTCAGGCGTCCAGGATATCTATAGAGATATTTTTGATGTGGACATATGGTAATAAGGCTGAAAACCTCTCTCTGAGGCTGCTGGTTAAATAAACCGTCTGTATTTGATCAGAGCTCTTTGCTACGGGCTCTGCTCATGCTTTGGAAGATGACAGGTAAATAAGCAAGTCCCAATTTCCCCTGGCCAGCTGGAATACTTTCTTCTCCTTCAGTGTGAGCTGTGGAAGGCATAGGAGCTTTAAGGCACCAAGTTTTTAGCCTGCACAAGGCACTCCCTCTGCCAGCCCCACTCCCCTCCCAGCCTCAGGAGTGGAGCAGGGGACACAGGACAGGCTCAGGGGTCACCAGGGCTCCTGCTCAGCACAGGCACCACCACAGTCAACACCCAACTAAGAGCCCAGCCTCATGTTTAGGAGCAATCCTGTTCTTTCTGTGTAAAGAACTGTGTGGCCAGAAACCATCACAGAAAAGGACGAGGTTGTGCCTGAAAGAGGAATTCAGTGGGAGAAGTGGGGTCTGTGCCAGACCTGCCCTCCTACCTCCTTGCCTGAGGCTTAAAATGTCACTTTGAGGGGAAAAGGGAGAGGCAGACAGTATTTCACAAATGCCAATATGCCTGTTTTCTCCCAGATCAGTTTTTCCTGTGTTTTCTCTCCTGCCAGCACTATGCCTCCAAATCACAGCAGGTTCAGGTCTACCTGGAACTGGTTTTAGCAGAGAGGAAACAGTGGCTGCATTTCCAGCTCTTTGGAGCTGCCACCATCGTGTGCAGGAGCCTGGCCCAGCCTGATTCCAGCTGCTCCCCAGCACAAAATCCAGGCTCCATCCCGCCCTCCAGCAGCGTGTTTATTTACAGCACAGTGTTTCTTTCTAAAGATCCGGTCTCAGGGGGCAAAATGCCTTCTGTGTATGAAACCAGTACTGACTAGCTCAGACATTGTCTTCCAGAGACTGCAGGCAGCCTGAAACAATAGGGGTGTGCAGAGAGTCCTGATGCATTTCCATTTTTGGACCATGATAAATCCGAAACCTAATAGTAACAGCTCTAAAAATTGCCTGCAGTAATTAGGTGGTTGGGAATTGGTTTGTTTTTTGGCCATCACACACAATCCCTAATGGCCTCACGTCTTCCTGCATTCCAGAGGATACATTTAACCCCTCAAAATTGGACAAAGCCTACAAGTTCTCCTCAAAAACTTTCAGAAACGAGCACCAGCTGGAGCATGGACATGGCAAGCACAATGGAAATGGGAAGCACGCCCCAGAAGTCCTTGGCATTACATGGAAGAAATGAACCACAGACCCATCGGGTTGTGTTCCTTGTACAACTCGGTCCAAACCTCTGAATTTTAAAAAATGCAACCCATGCACATAAAATACAGCACAGAGCCCATTTTTATCCTAAACCGCTGGATTACAGACAATTGCTCCCCGTTTTTGGGGTTTTGCTGACACCTGGTGTTCTGGAAAAGACGCTGTGTGTTCCTGCAAGTTCCCTTCCCTGGCTCCCCTTGGGGTGGCCACTCTCTCGGGTCAGACTGGAGCCCTGAATTTGGGGGAGACCCTGAGAAATGCAGGTGTGCAGTTAGATTTCAGAGTCCCTGTTTGAACACCTCAAGACAAGAGCAGGGCTGCAAGAGTGTTTGCACAATGTGTTACATCACTGCAAACCTCACAGCTCAGATGGACTTCAGGAATCGGGGGACTGCAGAGGGGGAACCTCAGACCTCATTTATCACAGAGCAGTTTGGGTGGGAGGAGAGCTTAAAAATCATCTTGTTCCAACCCCCTGCCATGGGCAGGGACATCTTCCCCTGGACCAGGCTGCTCCAAGCTCCATCCAACCTGGCCTTGAACACTTCCAGGGATGGGGCAGCCACAGCTGCTCTGGGCAGCCTCAGAGGGAAGAATTTCTTCCTCATATCAGTTCACCACATTTGGTGAAACTTTTTGTAAGTGGCAGTGTTTAGATCTGAGGTACTTGCTTACTCCATTGAATTATAGCCTGATGAGGGTTTTCACTACCTCCTTTGTTTTTGTTTTTAAATCCTTTTCAGAGTTGTCTCTGCAAAACGTGTCCCACTTTTACACCACCACGTCATTGTGCCACAAAGCACAATGCTGATCTTTAAACAGGGACAGTGGCTCCCCCAGGAATAGCCAGCACCACCTGCTCACAACCAGCTGCCCTAAGATTTGCTGGACCAGCATTTCTTTCTCATTCCAGATGCCTGCCCTGCCCAAATCAGATCAGTTACATCTCCCCAGGCAAACACTGCCGCAGACAAAATTCCATAAATAAATCCACCACAAGATTTAAATATTTACAGCACAAACATGAAAAGAAAACCCTAAAACACCAGGTAACAAATGAGAACAGTGTGGCTGCACTCTTATGACACAAGCCAGAATTCCAGGGGTCCCAAGGCAGTTGTCATCTGTCTCCTCTAAGGAGCAAAAGTGGTGTTTGGGATCTTCCCCCTGCAGCTCCCACAGGTCCAACATCCACTGCCCAGTGACACACAGGCTCTGAGAGTAGAGACTTGAAGGATCTTCCATGTGGACAACATTTCCAGCTAATTGGTCCCTCACTTCTCCTGAAAGAGGTTGGTGCAACCAGTCCAAAACCCCACAAAGCTGTACAAAACCCCTCAAGAAAATAGTCATTATAGCACATTCCTGTCACATAGAGCAGTTGGTTTGCTTACAGGTTGTTTTCCAAGCTCAGTCCTTGTATGTTTCTCATTGGAATTTATGGTAATATCAGCATTTTTTTTTTATCACAGTATAAACATTGATCATTTTCGGGCAATGACTCGAAATTTTGAATGTCCTGAAGTTTATTTTTTCCACAAAACAGAGGCAATTCTGTGTGAAAAGGAGGCTGATATGAAGAATACAAAACCATACACTATTTTTTTTTTTCGTATCCTTTTTTTTCTTGTCCCAAGAAAAGCTGTGGCTGCCCCATCCCTGGAAGTGTTCAAGGTCACCTGGATTTGAGAAACCTGGTGTAGTGTAAGGTGTCCCTGCCCATGGCAGGGGTGTTGGACCTAGGTATTTAAGATCCCTTCCAACTCAATCTGTCATTCTATGACTTTTTTCCTAAAAATCATAGAGGAATCTCACACAGTTACAGATGATTTTCAAGCAGCCTGTTGGAGTAACAGTGTCAACAATTTTCAATTTTATAAATAATTTTACATTCTCTCCTGGAGGATGTGTATTCCTTTACTGCAACATCCTGCAGGTGTTGTAATCTTGATTAAGGATAATTACTTTGCTGGCTTTCTGAATGCCTGAGAAAGTGCATCTCATCCTCGAATAATGAAATCATAGAAGGGTTAAGGTTGGAAAAGACCTCCAAGATCACCAAGCCAAACCCTTAACCCAGCACCAACACGTTCATCTGTAAACCATGTCTCCAAGTGCCACATCCACACATTTTCTGAACACTTCCAGGGAGGGTGACTCCAAAATCTCACAGCTCTGAGAAAACCTTACATCTGCTTTTTTGGGACTGTGTGTGAGAACTTAATTATGGTGTTTATTCTTTCTGTCACTCACTGCCCCTCCCTCAAAATAAAGACTAAAAGTATTGAACTTCTAATTTGATGTTGAAGCTCAGATGGAGGTGATGGTGAACCTTTCATTGTAGGGCAATACATAAATAAATAATGTCTAGTACATAAGGATTCTTATCACTGTTTGCTAAGAATTTTCTGGAAATCTATTCTCTTGAAGAGACTTTCAGTGTTTTTACACCAAGAATACCATACTGCCTGTTAGCAGCAGTTATTTACAGTATTTTTATCTTCTGTACAATAAAAGATCACAAGAAACAAAACAAACAAACAAAAACCCAACAGAAACAAACAAAACAAAAACCCAAGCCAAACAAAAACACCCCAGTGTCCACACTTGGTTCAGTGCAGCAAAGAAAAGTCCAATATTTACAGTTTTCAGTTGTAGGAACTTTGAGTTCCTGGTTCTTCAGTGCAGTTTTGAGGGCAGTAGCAGACAGACCCTAGTTAGGCCAAGGCTCTTCTTTTCTAGCTGAAGGAGAAACACAGTCTTGGGTCTTGGCTTGTCAAAGTCTCAGGAAGGCCCTTGGGCACTGGGTTGCCCCACAGCCTGCAAGGACAGCAAACGTGTTACTGCAGGACCAAGTGTGGTGCCCAAGCATCTGGAAGATGCGGATCCCAGGAGAGAGTGGGACAGGGCAGCAATGTACATCAGAAGTGAAACCAGAAGGAATGAGACAAAGAAAATTTTAAGAACAAATGCAACACTTCCTGATGGGGATATTACACAACTGGATCTTCATTTTTTGCATCATTTAAAGCCGGCAAGCTTTTCAGTTCCTGTTTTCCCTGGGCTTTCTGAGGAGGTGAAGCTGTCCTAGAGAACCCTCAGCTTACTTGTCTTGTGTCTGCATTCCCTGCAATACCCTGTTCCCTGCCAGCTAACCCAGGGCAGCAGGGCCATGGGTCACATCTGTCCCCATACTTGTCACCCTGATCTTTCCTTTCTGAGCCAAGACCCAGCCATGGAGCTCTGTGGCACCTGCTCACCTTATAGACTGAATTTCTGGGCACGTGGCAAGTTCCTCCGCGAGCTTTGTGGCCCCACAGGCTCCTATGCGGTTTTTCTCCAGGCTGTTTCAAAAACCGAAAGAGAATTTTGAAATCTCAGACAAATCCAGAGTAGAAAACAGCTGAGTTGTCCCATGCTGTAACCACCTTAAGTAAAATAAGTGTTAATTCAAGTGTATCAGCCAGGCAAGGCTGGCCCTTGGTGCATGGAGCCTAAACTGCAGAATCCTGCCTCTTGTTCCTAAAGTGCATCCCCTTTTTGGAAGTCCCGTGCTTGAAGGCTTAATGACAGAAAAATGAGCATTCCCAGGGTGTTTCTTGGGGCTGTACTCACTCTAGCACCTTCAGCTTTTCCATCTTGGGGAGAGCAATGGCCAGCTCTCGGGCTCCTCGATCTCCAAGGGCATTCCAAGATAGTCTAAGGCAGAGAAGAAATCCCAGTGGTGAGTCTGGACGAATGCTGGTGCCACTACTGTGACATTACCCCTCGTGGATTAGCCTTTTTGCAAGAGCTAATCCCCCTCTCATCATGACAGGTAAACATTCCCCTGGATTACAAGATTAATTTTGAGGATTTTCCTCCATTTCATCCCATATTTCCATGTATGATAAGACACCAAGGAGTGTCTGTGGGCTGTGGTTATGTCAGAGTCCTGCAGGCCCAGGGAAGGAGATGTGAAAGCTGGAAATGCCTGAGCACACAGCTTTACCCCATGACATTTTTTAGCAGTGTATTTTATCAATTAGTAAATTATTGGTACATTTACCACCAAAATGCACTCAGTAGAAAGTATTAGAAAATACTTTTAACAAGAATTCAGCAGGGTGAGAGGTGCCCTGCATTTCCAAACAGGAGCAGACATTAAAAAATGAGAGTGACCTGTGTGTGCTGAGGTGCCTCCCCACCCATCCCCACACTCACATGATCTCCTCCATGGAAGGGCACTGTTGGAAGCCAAGAGAGAGTGATTTTGAAGCATCATCAGTGATCCCACAGAATTTCAAGCTGAAGCAGCAGGGAGAGAGCAAACAGGACACGGTGTGCTGGTGTCAGAGCTGTGGGGAGCACAGCCCCACATCCTGCCTGCTCTGCCCCCACGCCCCGGCACTCACTCGATCTTCCGGAGGTGTCGGAAGCACGGCAGCCCCTCGGACAGGGCATGGATGCTCTGCTCCCCAAGGTCATTTTCTGCTATACTGCAAGAGTGGTGGAAAAGCTTTAAGTGGTGCAGAAACAGCAGGTACAGTCAGAGAAAAGCCACCATGGAAACATAACCATGTGCACTAGGAAGTTAATAACTACTACCCAGACTAAGTGAGGACTCTGTAGACAGCAGGGATGAGCCAGAGTGGTAAACAGCAACTCTAATTCAATTCACTGCTTGGTACAATGGGAGTGACAGCCCTGCTGTAGCCCACAACCTCAGAACTTGCAGCAGGGAATTGTTGCAGACAGAGATATGGGGTTATACCTGTGTCAAAGAAAGACAGATCTGCAGCACATCATGTGTTGCATGTGAAACTGGAAATACAAAGTTATACTGGGGTTAATGACTGGTGTGACTTGAGAGGAAATGACAGTAAGGGAGAATGGGAAGAAGACCTTCCAACACCTTAAGGGAGCTGGAGAAAGTCTTTGGACAAGGGCATGGAGAGACAGGACAAGAGGGAAGAACTTCAAGCTGAGGGAAGGATTAAACTGGATATTAGGAAGCAGAAATTCTTCCCTGCAAGGGTGGTGAGGCCCTGGCACAGGTTTCCCAGAGAAGCTGTAGATATCCCATCCCTGGAATTGTCCAAGGCCAGGCTGCATGGGGCTTGGGGAAACCTGCTCCAGCAGAAAATGTCCCTGCCCATGGCAGGGGGACTGGAGCAAGGTGATCATCAAGGATCCCTTCCAACCCAAAGCAGCCTGTGATATGTTTGGCACCCTCCCAGGTGCACTTGCCATGACCTACCTTATCTCTTCCAGCAGCCCACACACCGCCAGGGCTCTGGCCAGCTCCAGCCCTCCTGCCTGCCTGATGTTGTTGTTCTGGAAGCTAACCAAGGAAACATAAGCATTGGAGGATTATTTTGGAATAAAGCTGTAACAGAAGCTCATATTTAATCTGCCAAGAACCTAACCAGAGATCGTGTCCCACCACTGGGCTTCCTTTTCTAAGTTATTTTTTGATGACATCTTAGACACAGGCTGGAAGAGATGCCTCTAGGCTAACTGAACCCAGTGGCCACTTCTAGCTCACCAATTTCTTGCTTTGTTACTATAAAACACTAAAAGAAAGTCCTGTATGTTAGAATCCTGGAAAGACTCCCTCAGAAGTTTTAAAAATACAGTAACACTGACTTCAGGGAAAATAAATGACTCAGAGGTGTCTGCACAAAAAAAGTGAGGGTCCATAAAAGATGCTCATCCTTATGCTTACATTCCACCAGAGGCATCAGAAACCACCATACTCAAAATCAATTTTAAGGCTTATTTTACTGTGTAATCTCTTCCTGGTTCATCTCAATAGCTATTGCTGCAAGAGATTAAGCAAGAAGAGTTTTTGTGTCTCTTACAGCAGAGTAATTGTAGAGGGTTTCTCAATCCTGGGACACTGAAGTTACTCTCTAAACAACCAGTGCCCATGCCTTTTCCCATTCCTTCTTTCAACAATCCCCATACTCCTCAGGATATCCAGCCTTCCTGGGGCAGAGGCTGACACTTACTGCAGGATCTTCAGGTTGGTCATGTGAGGCAGACAGAGGGCAAGTGTCACTGCTGTCCTGTCTCCAAAACCATTCCTTGAGAGTCTGGAAGAAGCAGAAGTGAAATGTTACTGGCAGTGGAGTCCAGAGCCTCATTGCTCACCTGTGTGCCACCCCCACAGGGATGTGTGACCCCCATTCCTCACTCACATGTGCCTGGGACTGTGCTGAAAGGACCTGTGCTGAAATGTGCCTGATTCAAAGGACTCTGAGAGTGGGAGGAAGAAACAATCAGGTTTTGAAATCCTGCAGAAGTTGAACAGGAAAGTAAAACTGAGCTGCACATCCCAGAAGCTCACTTGCCTCCCTTCCTGACTGGGTAACCTGAGCTGAAATTGAACTGAAATTGCACTTTTTCATATGTGCCCTTAGTACACACACCCTGATCTGAAGGTTACAAGGAGTTCCAGTAGCTTAACTGTAACTTTTCCTTATATGTAATTTTAAAATTTTATTTATGTAATATGGCAGGGGACATACATTCTTTTAAATGGTCTGGAGTAGAACATCAAAAGATCTGTGTAAAGCCTTTATCTGTCCACTTCCCTCCATTTTTTGCAGCCAGACAGATTAATGGTGATATCTTGGGCAACACAGGCACTGAACAGCTCCTGACACTGCCTATAAACCTGCAGATTCAGCTCCTGAATCCATTAGTTCACTAATGCAGACTGCACAGTTTTTGGAAATCTTCAAGACAATCCAGCAACTAATCCCCAAAATTTCCACACCCAGCACCAGACATTTCTATGGTGTGTAGCAGAGTTTTTCCCCTGCTCTCACAAGAATCAAGTGGTAAAACTGATCTTGGCTTTATCAGAGCCATATCAGATTTCTATGCCTTGATTTTTGCCCAGCTTCCCAAAAGGATATTTGAAATGACACACTTACAGTAACTCCTTGATGTGCTTGCAATTGGCAAGAGCTTCCACCAGCTTTTCCCCTCCAGCAGGACTAGGACAGTTCCCTGAAAGGCTAAAACAAACATGAGACTCTCAGTGACTAAATGAGAACCAGAATGTACCAGATTAAGATATTTCACTGTCTGCCTGCTGTGATGGGAGACTCGGGCCCCTGGGAAATGGTCTGGGGGTTTTTCGGTTCTTTTGTCAAGTGCTGAGTAACTCCTGGCCCTGCAGGTACTGTGGGGAAGGAGAGTTTTCCCTCTCACAGACAGAACTGGGAACTTCCTTTTCTTTCTCCAAGTCATTTCCAGGTTTTTCATTTCAAAAAGTTACAAGGCCTGCCCCAAGTGCTGAGCCTAACAAACAGCCTGGATGCTCCAATTTCTGCTCCCGTGGAGAAGGAACAGCTCAGAATGTCTCAGTCCTGCCCAGGGATTCCCACATTGGCTTCCCCACCAACCATGGCCATGACCAAAACAGTGAACCAAAACAAAGGGACTCACTCAATTTTCTTCAAGTTTTGCATTTCCAGGAGGACAGCAGCAAGATTTATCAGGCCTGGATCTCCAATCTCATTGTGGCTTAAACTTTAAAGAAGAGATAGAAGGCTGTGTTGTAAAGGAAAATGGCAGGCAAAATACAAGATCTTATTTCATGTGTCCCATTTGCTGGATGACACCTCAGGCCTTGCCAGCAGAATCAAAGAGCTGTTTATCTCAACTATCTCACAGAAAATTAATAGGTGTTAATGAGGGATTTAAAAAATTGCAAAGAACAATTAAAATCACTGGATCCTGTTGACAGGTAGGAAATTACTTCAACCAGAATGCCAAGACAGGATGAAGACAGGTGGTTATTATTTTACAAAGTGCTACAGCAGAGAATGGACAGCATCTGGCAAGAGAGGGAGAAAGCAGAGCAAGCCTGGGGTTGGCTCCAGTACAGATCTTTTCAGGCAAATGCTGGGTCTGAGGCTTTCCCAGGACAGAAGGGAGTCCTAGTCCTGTTCTGCATCCTAGGGAAGATTTAAATTCTGGTTAATCCATTTTCTACATGACTGCAGCAGAGTGGGGTAAGACCAAAGTTTCCTTTTATGAACATTAAGTTCTGATTTCCTCTAGTCCAAGGTACCTCATACACGAGCATTTTGCAACCTCCCTTCTTTTGTTACCATACTGTGTTTAAGCACATCTGGTTCTCTCCAAATGCTGGCATTTGTGATCACCTCTCTGCAAGAAAGGAGAAACTTACTTGATTTCCTCTATGTTGTGCATTTTCCTCAAGGCTTCTGCCAGTCTGGAGCAGCCATCATTACCAATGCTGTTATGGTCCAAGCTGGAAACAACATTCCCAGGAAAATGGACATTCAGCTCCTGCTACTCAGCATCCCAGGCTGGGCCAGAGGCCAGCTGCAGGCACATACTTACCTCAGCCTTTTCAGGGATGGCATCTCACACAGGCCCAGCACGAGCCCAGGGATGGCAGCACTGCTGAGGTGCATGTAGCCCAGGCTGGAGGATGAAATAACAAAGGTACAATTGACTCCCCAGGGACAGTCGTGTGAGCACTCAGCACAGAGGGGAGCAGAACAAGAGAGGGAGAAATGGGGCAGTGTATTCTAGTCCCTGTGAATAATTTCAGTTTTGTTCTTTATTGCAATTCTAATAGACCTGGATTCTGATAAAATACCAACAGAATACCAAACCTCTGGAGCAAGAGCCCAGTCCCTCATGGGGCAAGGTGCCACTGTGGCCACAAGGCAACAAGATCCATGCGAAAAAAAAAAAAAACACTGCCAAAACATTTGATTCTCCACTGGAATACTCTGCCACAAACTACTGATCTCTGTCTCTCTCACCCACTGTTCATTGCAAATATAAAATAATTGTTGCTTCTTCCCCATCAGAAGCCATCAGGAAAAGTACATCTGTCCACAGTACATGCAGAAGAGAGGCTGCAGTTAACTAAAGCTTCTAGAACACCTGGCAGCCTCTGGTCAGCCTGGTAACAACACACTCACTTGAGTTCTTCAATGGCCTGGCAATTCTGCAAGCCTGAGATCAAAGAATCTATTCCAGCTGGTGAAACACTGCTAGAGGTCAGCCTGCAAAACAGCAAGGAGCAAAGGAGGAGATGAGGTCTCAGCACACTGAGACAGAATTTACTGCACTGACAGCAAAACTGCCCCATCTCAAAGCCCAGACAACACAGACATCAGGGCCAGGAAGTCTGGAGAGATTTCCACAGCCCTTGTGTGCAGGGCTAAGAGGACTGGCCTGAGGCAGAGGACTGAACAAATAATAAATATGTGGAAAAGGTCCCAGCTGGACACACACCCCCAAGGTCACACATACCCAAATGTCTTCAGCTCTGGAAGGGGCAGCAGAATCCTGCCTAGCATTTCTGCTTCATCCTCATGGAGCTCCATGTGAGACCATCTGCAAGGAGGGAATGACAGGTCTGGGCTTTGTACAGTGGTGGCAGGAGGTCTGTGCCAAGGCCACAGCAAGACACAGCAGTGCTGGGACCTTGGAGGAGTGACAACACTGACACTTGGCAAGGTCCCACGGGAGTTCCCAGCCATGGTAAGTGAGTATAGCTTGTCTGGGCACTGGGATATTGAGATGATTCCAAAGGATACCCCAGCAAGCCACCAGGTCTGTGGGTCTTTCCTATTTTCCATTCAAACACACCAAGAAGGGGACCCAAAGCCAGGGACTGGGACCTTGCTCTGGCCTCTCTCGTGCCCTACTGTGTGTTCAGAGTGCTGCTCTCACCAGGACAGGCTGCTCCCCTCCCTAAAATTCCTTTACAACACCTGGTAACTCACCTCAGCTGCTGAAGCTGAGCACATTTCTCACAAAGCCTTTGGAAGAAGGAGTGCTTCATTTCTGGCTTGTACAGCCTCAGTCTGCAGGACACAAACACACAGCACAACTGTCAGAGAGGATCAGTGCAGCATCTGGTGCCCCCCAGGGACACAATTAGGGACAGATCAGGGCTTTCAAGAGCCCACCTGGGGCTTTCCTGCCATGTCCCATTTATGTCACAGTCCGTGTAGAGGAACACAGCCCATCCCCACTGCCCAGGACAAGAGCTGCCTCTTCCTGCAGCTGCACAAAGGAAAAGGACACTGATGCTGCTCTCTCTGCACAAGCCAGCACGCCTTAAGAGTCTTCAAAGTGTTCCTGATTCCTGTTTGCTCCCAGGAAGGTAGATGGATTTTTTTTTGCCTTGTTTAGGTCCAGTATGGGCCTGAAGGAGAGCAGCCCAAAGGACCAAGCACATCCTTAAGGTTTCTTCTGCATGTGTGGCACAGAGGCACCCTGAGACTGAACCCATGGAGCCTTAGACACTCTGAAGATACTTTTCATCCCACAGTGAAATTCAAAGCAAGCAGAAAATAATGATAAATTGTTGCTTTCTCACCTGCTAATGACTGATTCTGTCTTCTCCAGGCAGTGTGGGAATCTTATGACTAATTGGAAGAGGGTTTTATCTTTACATATCCTGAAAAGTTAGAGATTAGAAAACAACATAAACCAGTGAACTCCTGAGGGAATAAAATACTATTTTCCATAGGAAAAATCAGGAGGACTGAACGGAACAGGATGATGCTGGCACATGAAAGCTAATCACCCATCTCTGAAGGGGTTTGTAATCTTTAAACTAGCTCCAAAACCAGCCTAAACTTGGCACCCATTCTGTCAAGGGCAACCAGGAACATGGTCTCCTTCCCATTAAACCCGAGTTGTGTGACCACAAACCTTCTAAGCACTTCTACCCACCAGCCATCTGGGTTAAAATTGGTTCAAATGGGCAAATAGATCACAAATGCACTGGAGACAGTGAATAAACAACAGAAGAACCGGTGCTGGCTTCAATCTCATTTCCTTAAGAGTATCAGGCTAAAAGAAAATATCTGGAAGATCCCAGGACGTGGGGTGCCACTCACATGATCTCAGCAATGTTTCCAGAGGCCTGGGCAGCCAGCTCCAGAAGGTTCTCGACTCTCTCCCTGCACACCCATGGCTCTTCTATGCTGCAAAGCAGAACACAGGCAGCTCTGCTTCATCCACACACTTGGATCCACCTCTGCCTCTGTCAGCTGAGTGTGCCACACTCCAAACACGTGGAAAGGCTGCTTGGCTCAGCAGAGCAATGTCTGCAAGGCCAACAGGGCAGCCTGGCAGCAGGCAGAAGCAGCCCAGCTTCCCTGCAGAGGAGGGGAGAATTTGCCACCCAGGCAAAGTGCAGGATGCTCTGGCATCCTACAGGAATGTGTCCACCAGAATGATCACCCTTCTTTGTGAGGATGGCAGTGGTCTGTAGAGCCTGCACAGCTCTACACCAGGCTCAGTGGGAATCAAGGAGATAAAGCCAAACACCAATAACAGAGTCAGCCACGGGAATTTCTCAGGCCAGTGCTCCCTGCCTTTGGAAGAAGCACAGTTCACTTTTTTTTTTTTTTTTTTTTTTTTTTTTTTTTTTTGGTGAAAGGAGATCCCAGAAGATCAGATCAGAATCTACAAAAGCACAATGAGACAGTACCTGATTTTCAGCAGCCCCTGATCCTTCCTCAGGGAATGCAGAAGTCTCTCTGCAGCTTGGATTGTCATGTTGTTATTTGAGGACCTAGAACCAAAGCTCACTGTAATGAACAGCTCACAGATGAGCCCCCCTAAATGGGCCCAAGAGCCATTAACTCACGTGTACTCTGTCAGACCAGTGCACTTTTCCAGGAGCAAGAACAACTTTTCCAAGTGCTCTGGCTGAAGGTTGCACTCTGCCAGTCTGAAAGGATGAGAAAGAGAACAGTCTTAGTTCATCACAAACAGTTCAGGCTTTCTGAGCTGGAAATATCAGGCAGCACAGCCTAACCCCATAGAGCAAGAAGGATGGCACAAAACCCTTAAACACCTTCAAGAGTTTAAAAAAAAAACAAAAAAACCCACCAAAACTGTGGCAACACTTCAAAAGCATCTGTTGAGATATTCTGGTAGAACATACCTGTATGCTACAATGGCACTGCTTTTTGTAGGACCCTTTCCTGTGACTGTAGGAACACCTACAGGTGCCCAGGTGAGGAACAGACAGTGGGGAAGCAAAGAGAGAAAGGGATGTGGGATTCTCTGTGATGTGAGAAATCTCTTCTCACAAGGTGAGTCAAAGGAAACGTATCAGCTGTTAGTACAAAATATCACCATGCCAGGAGAAAAAAAGAGGTTTTGTCTCTCTTGTCCCTCAAAAAAAGGACCCCACCTTTGCCAAAGAAATCACCACAAAAAGTCTGTAACATTACCTCAGAATCTTTCTTGGGTCATCTCCGCTTGTCAGCTTGATGATTAAAGTTGCTTTGGAGCACAAACTTCACAGAGAAGACATCAGTGTAAGATTTAGATGGATAATTACTTTTACCAGTGTTCAGAATTTAATGAAACCAAACTCCAGAAAATAATCCAACACAGCAGTGACAGAGGTACCTGGCACAGCTCACCCCTCCCTAAAATAAACCAGCCCAGGGAAATGCTTCAATAAGGTCTCACTCATGCTAAATTGGCACAAAGGCAGCACTGGTGTTTGGAAAAGCAATTGTGAGCTGTCCTGCTTTTAATTTCCTCCTCTGCACTCTCTGTTGAGCTCTGGGGAGAGGTACAACTTTAAAGTAGCCCAAAGATTCAGCACCACACCTAACTGCAGGAATGAACGAAGTGTCCCTGGTTAAAATGGTTCAGGACAGACCAGCTGGTCCCATGAACACAAACACTGATAAGGTCCCACAGATGTGCAGCACAGCCCAGTCTCATGACTGGAATCTGTGAGAAAAGCACTTTGTGCCAGAGCAACAGGCCCAGAGCCCATGGGATATTTTAGCTGAGAGGAAAGGAGATAAAATGCAAATCCAAGTAAAAGGACGTGGGAAATTTCTATTGCCTCTGAAATCTCAACATACTGAAGAGAACCTTAGAGAGCAATGCTGGCTCCTGCCCTGAAGAGGTTCATTAACAGATATATACATGACAATAATTGTTGGTACAGCTGAATATCTGTGTCTATACACAAAAATAACCTGGCCCTTTGAAGTGGTAGTTCTGCTTGGCAGTTATGTTTGGCCATTCAAAATGGACATAAAGCAAAGCTTTAGGCAGTTGAAAATATGGTCCTCATCTTTCTTATCCGAAGATCACAAACTTTCAATAATTAAAAGGAAAACAAGCAGGGAAGACTCAGAAATGAATGAATTAATTAAAACAGTCACCTGACTTGAACTTCAGTGGTGTTTCTAGATGTGACAAAGGCATTTATGAGATGTAGGACTCCATCCTGAGAAATCCCATTATGGCTGAGACTGCACAGAAGGGAAGGAAGGATTTTCAAAGGTCAGGAGTCAGGGCTGTCCCCAGGCTCCTCAGGCACAGAGGCAAAATTCAAGTTAACACCGAAGACAGAGCAGTTTTTGGGGTGCTGGGCACCTTCAGCTTTGCTCAGTCACTGAACTCCCCAAGGCAGCGCTGATGACTTGGGGGACACAGCAAATGCAATTTTCCTCTTGCACTACAGAGGCAGCAGCAGCTGGAACATTTACTGCCTCACCAGAAAGGGATGGGGAGAGGCTGGTGCAGGGCACAGCTCACACAGCTCAGCTCACACAGCTCAGCTCACAGCACCTTGGGTCTTACTCAGAGAGGACACTACATCCAGAGGAGTGATGAACTGAAAGCTCTGGGGACTGGTCAACCTCTGTCACACCACCCCACTCTGGGCAATGCTATTTCCTGCTGACACTACTAAAAAGATTTTTGCTTATTTTCAGCAGGTTTTGGGTCAGACCCTGAGTCACCACAGCCTGGTGGCCTTGAACAGTGCTCATAGCTCACTCAGAGCTTTCCTCCTAAGGCAGGAGAGGGCAAGAAGCACAAGCAGCAGCTTCATGGAGGATCACACCAACACCCTTCTGCTCCTCAGATTCACTGTGTGCTCTTACTTGAGGGAACAGGTACCAGGCACTCGATGCAAGTGGTCCAAGAGGCACCTCAGGCCTTCATCTCCCAGCTGATTCCTGGAGAGACTGCAAGGCAGAAGAACATGTGGCCAGCCAAAACTCAGCCTTTGAAACAGATTGCCCAAAGAGGTGGGGGGTTTCCCTGTGCCTGGAAATATTCAAAGCCTGGTTGGACAGGGTTCTGAGAAACCTGATCTAATTGAAGATGTCCCTGCTCATGACAGGGAGTTAGACTAGACAGCCTTTAAAGAGTCTTTCCAAAAAAAAAAAAAAGGTATTCTATAATTCTATATTTCTTTTAAACAGCAATACTCTGCTGAGAAGCTTTGAAGAAAAACCTCAAATTTCCTGCACTTCAATCCTAGCTTAGCCAAAAAAGGTCTGTTTAAAACAAATCACCGCCTTATGAAATTGCCTCATGCATAAGCTCCAGAGCAAGCTCAAACAAAGAGCTCGGGTGAAACCACAAATGCCTCCAAACAGTAAAGGAGTGAAAATCCAAAAGAAGTTGTCTCATCAGCTCAAAAGGACCTGTATAATTCCCAACTGATTGTGTTTCTCAGCAGTCTGTATGAGCACACATACCCTTGCAGACAGGCTGGGAAACTCCAGGCAATGCTGAACCCCACAAACACAGCTCTCCCTCAGTGACCCTGCTCCAGAGCATGGTGACACCCCAAGCCCCACTTACTCTACTTCTGCCAGCCCCCCGTGCTGCTCCAGGATGCTGCAGAGCTCCTCCACCTGCCCTTCTGCAATGGCACAGCCTGTCAGCCTGCGTGAGACAGCAAGAGAGTTAAAGCATGGCCAGCAACCAGCTCAGCCTGAGCACCGAGAGCAGCCCACCAGCAGCTGCACCTTTACACCAGTCTCTGTGCAGCATTCCCATTTTTTTGCCATCTCCTTGGTGCTGGGACAGAGACACGTTACAGGCTCCTGTCCAGGGGCACTCTGGAGCCATCACTCCAGAGAGGCTGCAGACACATCTCACATCACACAGATGTTTATGTGGAGATTATCCCCCAGAATTTGAGGCACACATTTGGAAAAGGCACTGATAAGGCCTCAATTCAGGTGCTCGTGCAGCAGAATTTGGTGCAACTCAGGATGATCATAAGCAGCCCAGAAAAAAAGGAGAAAAAGAAAAGCACTGGCCTCTGCCACCCCAATGCAGCCAAATGGTTCTGAATTGCACTTAAGCAGATGAATTGAGCCTAGAGCTTAAGCTACCAGCCCGAGCTCCTTGGCCACCAGCCCATGAATTCTCAATACAAGAGGAAACCTGGCTCCCTGCACTTGTGCTTCAAACCCACCCCCAGTGAATTCAGGAACTGTTCTACACCAGCACCTGCAGGATGTCCTTGGGCTTTGCATGCTTGCTCCTAAATGCAAGAAGGCATTTTCACTTGACCTGAGGCAGACACAAAAGACAGTCCTTCAGCACTGATCTCCAAAGATGACAAGCTTTGTAGGCCCTTTAGGGCTGAGCTGCTGGGCTCCAAACAGTCTGAGTGTCTTACCGGACTTCCACCACTCTGATCCGCTCGCAGAGGTTGATAGAGTTGAGGAGTAAAACAGCACAACGTGGGGACAAGGAGTTTTTCCTAATACTGTAAGGGAAGGGAGAGAAGGAACACTGAAATCAGCTCCTAAGAAGAGAGGCTCCCATACACACAGCCCAATTTTCCCATTCTTCATTTTGAGACACAAAAGATTGGATACATCCCATTTAACTCAGGATGAGGGAGCACGCACCTAAAGTTTTGAGCATTGGCACTCAGTGCTCCTTTACCTAAAGGAGAGTCTCCTTTAGTTCCCTTTGGCTAAAAAGGGAGTACAGACCAAGTACTTACATTGCACTACTCCTCCTTTGGGACTAGAGATATCCCAAACTGGAATCTGGGCGATCCTGTCTGGGCAAACTCAGACTCATGAGACCCTGCAGGTCCTCCATGCTACAACACCTTGCAAAAGTTGGCCAAGCTTCTTCTGGGGTTTTTAGTCCACTCAGTGGAGAGCCCTATTCCCTGACAGGGCTTCCCTGGCCTGAATTGCCCTCTGCTAAATATCATTAAAGTGCTGCTTTTCTTCTAGAAACGAGAAAGGAATGGATGTGGAAGCATTTCTGCGTTCTTTTTGCCTTGCTTGTTAGTTTACAATTACTGATTAATGCTCCTAAGATCTGCTGTGGCATTCACACTTTCCAAACCAACATTTCATGGCAGCAGTCATAGCAGGGACCACAGACATTACCTCAGTAGTGACAGATGACAGAGGGATGGCAGAAAGCTCAGTAATCTCTCAATGCTCTGGTCACTCAGTGAATTTCCAGACAGACTGTAAAGCATGGATGGAAACAAAACCCAGGGGAAACTGTTTCAATTCCTAATTATTTCTGTAACATTTACATGGACATGCACGCACAAATGGGCAAATTCTGTAAAAGGACATGTCCAGAAATGCCATGAAAACTGGGCAAGATTTAGTCCTTACAGCCTGATCTTTGTGTTTCTTTATATCCTACAGCCAAGCAACATTCCAGTTTCAAGAGTCTTACTTTTCCATTATTGTACACTTACAAACTTATGCTACTGATGTCTTTCATGCAGGCGATAGGGGAATTAAGTTATTTTTATTTATGTTCTGACCAGCACTCTAATTTTCTTAGTGCCAAGCTCCTGCCTGGAGTGAGCAGCCCTTCAGGAGCAGAGTTCATGGCTTAGTGGGCCAGGAGCTCTTGCTCTGTACTACAAGCTGAGTCCTCAAGGAATAGAAGACAATTTTTTCTAGACACGGGACTGAGGAAGATCACGAGAACACACACATGTTCTGGGGCCTTTACACACTGATGTGGTAGACTTAGGAAAGGCCAAGTTCTCTTTGAAACAGGACAGCAGAAAGTCTGGGTTTAGTCAAGTATCTGGGTGAAGATGTGGTGAGAGGGGAGCTGGTGTACACCAGCTGCCACCCTGAACATCAGATCTGGGGTTTGAACATCAAATCTGTGGCTGGGGTTGGGGAGACAGACAGACAGACAGACAGGCAGACTTACTCGATTTCTGTCAGCTGGGGACATTGAGCCAGTATCTGGCACAGCCTGGTCACATCCTCCAGACCCACCCTGCAGTCCCTGAGACTGAAGCAAACAAAGCACTCAGGGAGCTGAACATGACCACAGGATGCCACCAGTCCCTGCATATCCCAGAGCCTCACATCCAGGACAAGGCCCATGCTGACCCTCTCACTTCTACTACATATATTTTGCTACCTCTGGTCTAGGAATAAGAAATCAAAACCTGGGACAAGCAGATAACTTCACCATCCCTGAGACAATCTGAGAGAGCCAGTCCACCAAAATACCAATACTTTGGGTGCTGCCTCCCTGGAGCCACATCACTGGTGATTCAGCTGTCTCAGGAGACTGGACAGCATCTTTCCCTGCTCAGCACTGTCTTGGCTCTCCTAGAGGAAGGCTGGAAATGGTGCCTCCTCTGTCCTTCTCCAGGAAGGAAATCCTAGAAGCCTTTTTGGGTGACAAATTGGCAGGTCTCCATGGGCTGAATGTAGCAGTCACACAGATCTGTCTCATTATTTATGGGTAGAATTTTCCTTGCTGGAAAGCAGGACAATCCCCTCAAACCAAGAGAAAGATGCACTATGTATTTTCTGTCCGTCCCACACACTACCCTGCCCTGAAGACACAGACCCCCACAATCATCTCCCCCTGCAGTGCTGGTGAAAAGGGAAGCGGGGCTGCCATACCGAAAGCACTGTCCTTTTGCTTCCTGCTTGGGACGTGCCAGGGAACCACTTCTCCATCTGCTGGCACTTCTGGGGAAAGAACAGTGTAGCCCATGAGCTGTGCTGATGGTCTTGCCCCATGCAGCCAATTCCCCATGAAGGGGTGAGGCGGTGGCAGTGGTTCCTGCTCCAATCTGCCTTCCCTCACCACCTGCCAGAATGAGGTTCAGCCCATCCCCAGAAGAAAAAGAGCCTTATCAGCCCTCTTCCAGCCTCCAGAGAGCTCTGCAGCCACGCAGCACTTGGGTCTCTGCTGTGTCCTGGCCAGCAGGGAGGTGGCTGCAGCCTGTCTCAGCAGCTGGGTGCTGCTGGCTGCTCCATCCCCTCCAGCTGCTGCCAACCCATCAGCCACGAAACAGCTCACTGGGCTTCCCCCACCCTGGTTGGAGTTTGGCTCTTTATGGACACACCTCAGGGACCCACAGGTCGCCTTCTGTTTAGAATTTCACAGGAAGTTTAAAAGACTTGTATGAGTGGGCATGATTTTACCTGACTCTTTCCCAAAAGGTCAGATGAACCACCTGTGTGTGCCCTAAGCTGTAACCAGAAAAGAACATCATCAGCACGGAGTTTGACAACACAAGCTCCTGTATCACTCCTCAAAAGCCTCAGCTTGAGGTTTTAAACAGCAAAAGAATATAAAAAGTACTCCTGGCCATACCTGAGGCTCATTGTTTTAATGTGTTCCAGTGTAGTTAATGACTGAGCTAAGAAAAACACAGAGTTGAGGGAGATCTGGTTGTTGTTGAACCTGCAGGAAGAAAAGATGAAATCAGCTGCTGCAAGCAGAACTGATAAAAATGAACACCACAGCACAGGACAGTGATCCTTGTGCAGCACTCTGTTTCAGAAGCAGCCACACCTGACAGAAAACCACCCGTCCCCTTCATGGAGGAGCGAGCACAGAGGCTCCTGGGCACTGATGTCAGTCAAGCTTCAAGAGGAGTCAGACCAGACAGCACAGTGCACCTGCCCAACACAGAATATTCTGCACTGATTGTGAAGAGCCCTTCCCAAATGTGCACTGTGCTTTTCCACAAGCAATACTTCACAAAACAGGGGCTACTCACTTGAGAGAACGTAACATTTTCAGTTTTGGGAGGCACTGAAACAGCTGCAAAAGTCCCTCATCTCCCAGATAATTCCATGATAGGCTAGGATTTAAAGAAAGGCATTTAATTTTCACAGTAAAAAAAAACCCAGTAGGCACCATCAGGTCTATTATCTCTATGTACAGCCACACATTCCAGCAGGCTATGCCTCTACCCCACTCTGTACAACACAACACTGCAGAACAAACAAGTGGCATTTTCTCAGCATCCCAAATGACTGCAGGTGAACACCACGGGAGCTAAGGAGGACTCACTCCAGCTCAGAGATGTGGCCACACTCCTTCAGGACTGCACACACATTCTTCAGGTCACTGGCTTGAAAATTACACTCTGTCAGTCTATGGGGAAAAAAGAAATCAATCATCCAGGTCTGCAGGATTTCAAACAAGGTTGTAAACTTCACTCCTCTGAAAACTAGAGAATCAGTGAAGAGATAATAACGAAATTAAACAATCCCCTTGAAACACCTTGCTGCTCACCAGCTCCCACAGAGTCTCCAGGTGATGGGCCACCCCCTGCCTGGCACTGCAGGTCCCTGTGTCCTTTGTAAGGCACAGGGTGGCCACCAGCTCCCAGCCCCTTGCCAGGGGCTGCAGCCATTCCCCCCAGCCAGGGCAGAACCTGCAGCTCCCCTGGCAGCTGGGAGATTCCCAGTTCCCTTGTGAGTCACCTCTTAGGGATGCAGGTTGCACTGGAAATGGGACATGCATGGAATACAATGAAAATTGGCCAGGGTACCTTATTTTTTGTGAAGTGGTTGGTGTCTGATTTTCCTCCCCATGTTTTTGGTCATCAGTAGAGAACACAGGCTTTTCCCTAAGTGAGCACAAAACCAGACAAAGGTGAAACTCTTTTGCTTTAGCAGTTTGGCAGATCCCTGGGGCTACCCTGGCTCCAGCCCATGCCTGTATCTTGCCAGCTGCAAGCTCTCCTTTTCTACCCAAATATTTGAGCATGCAGGCAACTGGAGAGAAGGGCAAAGAGATATTTCTATCTAAGTTTGATGGAGAATTCAGCTGGATTTTGCTGAATTTAGCTTTTGCCTAAATAAGTTTTGTGAAGAGCCTGTACAAAAATCTGACTATTCATAATTATATTGAACTGTCTATGACTAACCAAACTGTAACACTGTAACTAAAATCTACAACTATAAACAGTAAAACTATAACTAAATCTGACTATTCATAACTAAATGGAACATGGAAAAACTAAAATATCAGTGTTTGAAATGCCAGCTGGTGCCTTAAAGGAGTCCACAGATTGCCTGTCTCGGGCTGTCACTCTCTTTCAAGCACAGCCACTGGGTTGTGCCTATAAAAGTGCTGCTGTTTCTCTCAGGCTAAGGGGTGGAATGCAGTTATTCCATGGGAAATGCTATTTTACAGCGAGCTCAGTCCACAGAGAACAAGGGTATAAATAGTGAAACTAAAATTCCAGGAGCAACGGGAAACCATTTCTTGGTCAAAGCCTTTGGGCTGAGCTGTTTTAGCCATAATTTTATGAGGGGAAAAATGAAACTCCAAACATCTCATGATTTAGGAATACCATGGTCCAGAATGCATAGTGTACTCTACTGCAGGGATCTGTGAATATTTTCAGAATTTGGTGTGGAATTCACTTGGTTTTTTACCCTCACTATTATCAGATAGCATGGGTGTCATTAAGCAGCCTGCTCTGCTTAGGATGCTGTGGGATGCAATGTGCTCTAGAGACATAAAACACTACAGGAGGCAGTGACAACTTTTCAAGTGACTGAGAATGCCAGGAGACAGTTCTACATTTAGATTTGGGGGTTGGGGTGGGAGGCAGGAACTGCTGTGAAGTAGAGTGTTACCCTTGGTACCTACACAGGATGCAAGAGCTAAACAGGATGCTGAGATAACACCGTTTGTGCACACACAGCCTACCTAGGAAGAAGGGAAACAATCTCCCTGTCTTCTCTAAACCTCAGGACTGCAGTATCATGACCAAGGCTGTGAAAAAGAGAAGTAATCAATCAATGTCACGGTTTGGTTATTTACAGGATTTCTTGTTTGGTTTGTTCTGCAAAACTCTGGTGACACCAATCATTTGTGCTTAAAACAGTCCCAAAGCAAGAAAAAGTAATCTCCATTGGTTTTAAACTCTGGATCAAATTATGCAGTGTTGATGATCCAGTTTCTCTGAATCACTAGACAAAGCACAGATGAAATTGCTGTACTTGAGTGTTTTCAAGTGAAAGTAATAGAGGAGAATTTCAGTGCTGCTCCAGGAGGTGTCACCAGTTCTCATGCTCTGCAGAGATCCTGTCTCCAAACCTTCCCAAGGCAGAGAGCAGGGAAGCATTTTAAAACTCCCCCCTGCATGAGAGGACAGGCAGTTTTGTAAGCTCAGGTTGTGGCTGCTGGCCTGGCACAATCAGCTCCCAGCCCTGTGTCACCAAGTGCCAGCGTCAGGAGCCACCTCGGGACACGCTCTGCACCCACCACACACCTGAGGTGACTCAACAAAAACCTCAGGATTCAACTCCCAGCCTTGTACATTGGGATTAACCCCAGGCATGATTCAAGACCTACATACCTGACCTGCAGCTCCATCACCTTCTGGCAGGTATTTACTGACTTCAACAGGCTGCAAATGCCAGTGACAGAGAGGTGGTTTTGGCTGAGACTAAGAAAGAAAAAGGCAATGAGCTGGTCCCTGAAATCCCACAGGATTGTGCTGTCCTGGAAGCAGCTACCAGTGCTCTGCATGCTTGAAACCATCTCCCTTCAGAAGAGGGCAGGTTGGCTTTGTACAAGGCAACACTTACTTCAGCTGCTTTGAAATTGAAATACAGGGGAGGCTTTCCAGCAGACAACTGCAGCCTTCATCTCCCAGCTTGTTGCCTGATAAACTGAAGCATTTTCCAGTTAGTGGGGACTGATTTGAGCAGTAGAAACAAAGCCCTCAAAACCTGCTTGCTTTCCCTTTCCTACAAAAAAAATGCTTTTTTGCCTGGACTGTTCTGTCTCAGATCAGTCTTCCACGCTTATTTCTACATGAATCGACTTCAGACAAAAAGTTTTAGCCCTTGGGCAACATGATTTATGTTTTAGACCCAAACCATCTTGCTTTAGGAAATCTATGATCTTTAAGGCCCTTTCCAACCCAAACCAGTCTGTGATCCTATGATCCCCTGCTCCACATCACCTGCCTACAGCCACTCAACAGGAAGGAAAGGAGGAACTTACTCCACTTCAGAGAGACAGGGACAGCTCTGGAGAATGGCCACAATCATCTTGGCATGTTGGGGAAACAGCCTGTGATCCTGCAAGCTGTCAACAGGAAGGCTTGGTGAGCAGTGAGGGGATGGGGGTGCCCCTGGCTGGGCCAGATAGCATTTCTATTGCCATTTTTATTTACTGATTCAGGTTTATTTCAAACTTTTCCACATGTGGGAATATCCTCTGTCCTTAAGGATGAACACACCTGCTTCTCTGGCCCTTCTACAGACCTGTCATTTGCAAATCACATGCACCAGTAGGACTCTATATGTCTACTCTTACCATAAATTCACATGTCTAGCTGGAATTATGTGTTCATTATTCTCTTCCAACTTCAAATCCTGAGATCTGCAAACAAGCAAAATATTTGGATTTTAATATGCTTTCATTAAATATCTGATAATTTGGGTCCCACTTAATATTTCCCAGCAGAAACCACCAGGTCTGTGTTCTGTTCTTGCAGCACTTTTGCAATGCAAACATGGCACCTCAGCTTACCCAGGCTCTAAAGAGCTGCTGTCGTGGAACTGGCTGTAGGTGTGGGTGCAAACCCAGCTATTTTTGGTTACATTTCCCATTGCTCAGGCAGCTGCAAGGGCAGTGGGCACCAGCTGTGCTGTCATTGTGGTTTGTGGTGACACCAATGGCTTCAGTCAGCATAACTGAACACAGTAACCACAAGTGCAGTGTCTCACCTTTGAGCTTTCCCAGATGTGCCAGAAAAATAAATAATCATGGTGTCCACCCTGAAAAAGAGATCCAGGACATTATTAGGAAAGAGGTGGGAGGATGCCATTTATTTAGCAGAGGTGTTTGGTGAGGACCAAAGCCCAAAGCTGTTGCCTGGATGCTGAGGAGAGCCTTGACATCTCTCTCACCAGCTCACTGGCAGAGCCAAGCAGCAGCCACGTGCTCAGAGGGGAAAGGACACTGCACTCAGTGCCAAAGGACACCTTGAGCTGGGACTGCAGTGCAGATGAGACAGGCACACCCTGAAAGAGATTGGGCCAGGATATTTTTTTTTTTTTTTTTTTTTTTTTTTTTTATTGCAAGACCAGAAGTTTGTTGGAAAAAGATTCAAAAGATTCAGTATGAACTCCCTTCCAGCAAGAAAAATAAGAAAAAGCCATATGCAATTTGGGTTACACCAGGGATTACTTTGGCCTGTTAAACTTAGAACATAAGTTTAGAACCACAAGAGCCAGGTTGATTTAAAAAATCTACCCTTTGTCACACCAGACACATGAAGACCCCAAACCCTGTAATTTAAAGGAATGCAGAGCTATAGCTAAATTCACACATTTTCACTAAACTTAGCTGACTGATAGCAAATTTCCACTAGTTAGTATAGAATTTCCTTTTTGATATATTGCAGAGCTTAGAAGCAAGTTTAAATTCTGTTATACAAGAAGAAATATCATACCCTGCAAACAGTTTTATAGACCAAGGATAAAAAGACCTATTAAAATACAAAGAGGAAGTACATGGTATGATGAATTCACATTTTGTTTCCAATAGAAAAGAAAAAAGGAGCCAAACTGATTTTTGTTCACTTCAATTAGCCAACAATTAAGCTGAAAAACAGTGTCCATTTGAAGTCAGTGTCTAAAGAGACAACCTACTTGCTTTTGTAAGAACTCCCATGTATTGATACCTGGCACAGAGTTCAGTAACATTTTGACACACGATGCCTTCCTTTGCCAAACTGAGAACAGCTTTCAAGGAAAGATGGTTGTTGCTCAGGCTGTGAACATGAGGAAAAATAGAATTTCAGCTGCTGAACCCCACAGCATGTTCTTTTGTTACACAAATGCCCTCTGCTCTGTTCCCCAAACCTCCTGAAGCACATGATCTTTTAATAAGGGTATTTCTCAAAAACTTCTGAAATTTCCATCTAGGACCCAATGAAAGCATTATCAGATCACAGTACTGTCTCTGCAAGCTGTAGCTCCCATGAATTTAGACTCAGAAATAACTCTTCCATGTGCAGCAGAATGATCATTTACCAATTTTGGGTTAGTTAGTGGAGGTAGTTCATACCTTCATGATTACACCACTGATCCACAGTGCAGTTCAACTCTCACTACAACAAAGCCAATTTAATTATGGCTTATTAAAGCAGGGAGGCCTGAACACAATCCCCCAGCCTCTGAGGATTTATTCTTTAATTGCACATTTGTTCCATTTCTTGCTGGACCTCATTAGATATGAAACACAAAATCTTGCTTCTACAAATCCTCTGCTTGTTCTCAGGGCCACTCCTGAGAGCCTCAAAGGAACCATCCCTGAGAACAGCACTGTGTGTGTAACAGAGATGGGTGAGGGAGTGGGGATTGCAAATGACACTGTTTTCCTGCCTTTTCTGCTCCCTGGGGGCAGGCTGGCATGCTCTACAAGCTTTTTTCCAGCGTGCCCAGGAAAGCAAGAGCAGCAGGTACATTCCTCCTTTCCTCCCTCCGTCTGCCATGCTTTGAAACACTTCTAACCACACTGCAAAGCCAGTGATTAATTCCTGGATGGGATCCAGCAATGACTGCAAGTATTTTGGATTCACCTGCTTGCACCTGAGGGTGTGTGGAAGACTTTTAAAAGCAGAGTGTCTCCCTTTCAGCTGGGGTGGGTAGGGAGTGCTCTGACTCTGTGGCTTTGTGTCTATCCCTGTCCTGTCACACAAACTGCACTCAGACTCCAGCACTTACAGCAGCTCTGCTGCTGCTTCAACTGCCCCTGGCACCTCTTCAAAGGCTTTAAATCCCTTCAGCCAGGCTGGTTCTCTCCACCTAAAAAGCTGCAGATCCATGCTGGGAGTTTTGCTAGCAGTCTGCCCCTCTCAGTCAGCTCTGGACAGCCACAGGAGCATTAGAAGGAGCAGCACAGGAGGAGAGGGCTTGGAAAGGCTGGGGAGACTCTGATGGAGCCACCCTCCCTTAATCAGAGGCGAGATACCTCAACCTGAGCCTCACCAAGGGGAAGAGAAGAGGAAAAGTCAAGCTAGGCACTGAGCTGAGCACATGCACTGTAATTCCTGGAGAGGTGTCAGGGGTGCCAGGACTCCCTTGGGATGATTTTAAAAGAACGAGATAAGAACTGTGAGGCTGAGCCTATCTCAAACTGAGCCCAGCACAGCCCTGCTGGCACTGCAATATCTGTGCCTCAGCTTGATGCCCCACATCTCTGAGCTACGCTTGGTTTCACGGTAGCCAAGGTTAAGCCATTTTTATTTTTACTCACTCTACTTTCTTCAGCTTTTCCATTCTGGAAAACAGGTCCATCACCCTCTTCACTTCTGGATCCTGTATCCGATTACCCTGCAAGCTGCACAGGATTCATTTGCATTAGTATCCCAAGGAAGAAATGGTTGATTTGATGGCCATTGCCACAACACACTCACTTTATTTCCTCAAGATGGGGGCACTGTGATGCAGCCTGGACCAAGTTAGTCATCCCCTCAGCTGTGATGGTCCCGCCTGTCAGCCTGGAAAGAGAAAGGATCACTCAAACCAAGCAAAGGGAGGACTAGGATCCCCTGCAGCACATGGCAAGCCTGTCTCAGACCCATGCCTGCACCATGTGCCCAGCATACAGACACTGAGGCAGCAGCCTGGCTCTGCCACCTGCACCCAACTTCCTACTCCTTTTCCAGCAGGGCAACACAACCCTGCTCTTGATGCCAGCATAAAACAAGAGCCACGTGTGTCTGTGCTGCTCTGTGCAGCACTGTTATCCTCATACCCTCCACAGAGCAGATCAGCCTGGGGTGAGCCAAAGTCACGGAATAGAGAACAGACAAGAAGGGAGAAGGCAATGGTGTTATAAGCAGACTTACTCTAGTTTCTTCAGGTTCCTCATTCCTTGTAAGCCCTTTGAAAGAGCAGCAGCAAAGTCATCACCACATCTCCTGCTGCGAAAGCTAAAATGTGAAGAAAAGGGAGAAAAAGATAAACACACCAAAAGTTGATATTCTCATTTGCTTGCAGGATTCACCCTTCCTTCGTATTGAAAAGAAATGCCTATCATCTTCCCTCTTATCTAATGCATTAACTACCCTGTTGTTCACCTTAATCAAAACGGAAAAACAAACAAAAATAAAGCCAGAATGGATTTATCACCTTATTGTCCTCCAATCACTCATAAATGCATTATTTCATACATCTCTGCAGTACTGGAGTTATGCTGTTCCGATCAAATTTTCTCACATCATCTCTCTCTCTGTTCTAGAACAAACTTGAGGTTTGACCTTCCAATCCCTTAGCCCTTCTCCCCACCCAGCAGCTCACAGCACTCACTGTACCTCAAGTGTTCCACATTTTTACAGCCAGCCAGAACCTCCAAACAGTCTGTGTCCACAAGACATCCTGCGAAATCCAAACAAATCAAATCCTGGCCCGAGTTTATGACAAAAACCAAAGCCGACATGTCCAGTGTTGTCAGTCTGAAGTTTTTAAACTCATACTTGAAATTCAGCAGGCTCCCAATGTGCTGGGCTACTTCGAGGTTTTGTGTTTCAAAGGTGCAGTGGCAGAGCTCAAGGACCTTAGGCCCTGACAGATGAGTGGCTGCCAGTTTCCTGAGGGACTGCAGGATCACATCCTGCTTTTCCTGCACCCAAGCTTCATCTTGCTCTGCCAGCAGCATGAGGAATGTTCTACACTCTCTTGACGACAAGCCTGAGAGAAATATGTGAAAACTCTCCACAAATTCGGTCTTTGTCTCATTCTTTAAAGTCCACTTTGACTTCAAGAAGAATTTCTTCTTCAGGTAGTTCTTGTCCACTCTCCTACTCACCATGAGACACAGTGCTGCAAAAAACTCCTGCAAGCTCAAGTGCACAAAGGCATAGCCAACCTCTGGGCAAGTGCCACTCGTCTTCACCTCAAAGACAGTCAGCAATCCATGCAAGGAAGCAAATTCCTTCACATCCTCAGGAATATCACTAACATAAAACACAAGTTTCTTCTCTTCCAGGCCTCTCAGTGCAAGATCAAACAGACCCAAAATGGCCTTTTTGTTACAATTCAGCTGAGTCTCTTCATCACCTGTACAGTCTCCTCGTTGCTTGTTCAGGAAGATGAGAAACATTTTGATATAAAACTGTGTCATAGTCTGAGGAAGCTCCACACTCATCTGCTGTTTGAGGAACAAATACTCCAAGCAGATGCACACAATGTTACACAGAGCAGGGATGAAGCACATGCTGAGGAGTTTGGTGTTGTTTTTCACGTGAGCAATAGCTCGTTCTCTGAATGAATGCTGACAAAAATAGTGGCTAACATATTCCTCCACCTTCTCATGGTCAAATCCCCCAATTTCTGCCAACACACCTACTGTATATAATAAGAAGTTGGGTAACCTCTTAGGTCGGCTGGTGACCAACACTGTGCAACCAGGCAGGAGGTTCCCATGACAGAGGTCTGCAAAGAGCTGGGATATGGACATAGGGGAGGTAAGAGCTGGGCCTCTCTTAGAGGAGGATGACATGTCCATGTTAGCTGCAAACTCATCCAGGCCATCAAAGATGATCAGTGTCTGCTGGGCATTCTCCAGGAGGGCCTGGAACACCGCATGAGGGCTGTCCTCTGGCTGAAGGAACATGTCAAACAAAAGCTCCTGCAGGGTCAATTTTCCTTTTAACAAGTTCAGCTGCCGAAACTCAAACAAGAAAGTGAAGAGAAACTGAGGTAGGACACCTTCTGCCCATTTCTGACAAATCCTGTGCATTAGCCTGGTCTTGCCTATCCCTGGTTTACCAAACAAAAAGATCACCTTGGTCGTGTGCGACGGGGCCTCGCTACAGAGCAGATCTGACACTTTCACAGCTGTATCTGCACATTCCTCTGCCTCAGGAGCACCTGCCATGTCCTCTCGGGGTTTCTCTGCTCTCTCTTTTAAGCGAGGGGCTTTGCTCTGATGAATGACGACATTGACAAAGGCTTGGTTGAAAGGCAGTGGCTGTGTTTGCTCCTGTGCTTCTGCTGCTCTCCTGCTTCCGTATCTCTGGAGGACAGAATTGATGAGGAGATGCCGGTACTTCACAAATGCATCTAAGAGAGAAAACAACAGAGGGGGTATGAGGATGGAAAAGTTAGTTGTGAGTCACAACATATCCAAAATACTACCACTTATAGGCAGAGAAACAGCAACCCTGATCAGAGGTTGCTGGGTAGAAATGACAAATTTTGAACTCCTGAAAATAACCTAGAACTCTTCCTAATTTTTCACAGGGGCCGAAGAAAAACAACATTCAGGAAAAAGATGAGACAGCTTTATATGAAAACTAAATCTTACTATCTCTAAGATGAGAATTGGGTATGTGTGTATTATGCATATTATTCCCTGTTCACTCGCTCCCTCTTCGCCTGTGCTGGCCTCTTAATGCTGGAAGTTGATTTCCTGGGTGTTTCTGCAATGACATTAAATAGGTCCTTTCCTCAGAGGGAAGCCCAGCACAGCTTCTGGAATATCCACATACCCAATCGTCGCTGTTTGGCGTCTTTGTCACTCCCAGAGCTGCTGCAGCGGCGGCGGCGAACAGACCCTGAAAATTGAAAGGTCAGAACCACGTCAAAAGAGCATTTTGAATGGCAGCATGTTAAAGCTGGGCAAGACTCTCCAGCAAAGCATTTGGGGAGCTGAAGAGGAAAAACTGGACAGATAAGGCTGTTTGTAAACTCAGGCTGTGATTACAGAATTGCTTCTTCTGAGATGTGTCACAAGCACCTCACTGGTGAGTCTGTTTGAGGGCTGGATGATGCACCTGCCTCACTTTGAACAGAGGAACTGCTTTGATATCCTGGGGAACCTGGCAGAGAATATCTGTTTCTGGGGGATGCAGAGCCCACAGATTCCCAGGGCTGTTTATGGTGGGTAATTTCGTGGCTTTTCATGGTGGACTGTCAGATGGAAAGAATGGACAGAGCTGAGAGAGGCACGTGTCTTTCTTAACTGGTCTTAGTAACTTCCAGAACTATTTTCAAATTTCCATTCCACCAGCACCTGGCGAGATGGACTCACTAGGACACACAGCAGTAGGCAGCAGTCTGAATGCAGACCAAAGGTGGCTTTTTTCTCCCTGTTTTCAACATCTTAAACCTGCACATGACACACATGACAGACATGTGACATTTGCAGTACTGTGACTCAGAAGTCTCTGAGCATAAAACAGAGGCAAAAGTGTCTCTTCATGATCTGCATCAGCTAGGAAAGTCTCAGTTCCAAATGCACTCCTGAAGAAAACCTTACTATCTGTTCTCTTAAGCTCCTATTCTGACGACTCTGGAGTGGTTTCTGTTTGATCAACACCTGAATAATTTTTCTGCTCTTCCTTTAAAATCCAAACCAACTTTTTCCACCTACCAATGAGCTGACCACCGTATAAGTGCAAAAAGCATGGGTTTGTTAGAGTGGGTGGGAGATTCCCACAGAGAAACTAAAATAAGTGAGTTCCTTAGCAGGGGACCAGCAAGGCTTTTCTGAAATTCAGGGAGAGAAAACAAAACAGGAGAGGTTCACGTGCAAATCACCAAGAAGAGAACAATGAAATGTCAAGTTGCAGTGGCTTCTCCACACCTTGCCAGTGCTGAGGGTCAATACCTGGGACATTTGGAGCCTGCCCAGGCCGTGAGCAGAGAAGAAAAACTCCAAGAGTACAGTGGCCAGGGTCTGTTCCAGCCTTACCTGTTGGCACAGATGGCTGGGCTCTCGTGTCTGTGCCTGATTCTTCTGGCTGGCTGAAGTTACCTAAAGGAGTTGAATGTGAATTAATTTTGGTTAATATGAGCATTCTGCTCTTGAAATTTGGAGTGTGGCTGGCCAGAGACAAAGGACAGGTATCTTGCAACACAGACCGTGGCACAAACCAAGGCTCAGTATAAGGGATGCAAACATCCAGGTTCAAGGGTCTCCATCTGATCTTTTCCTTCCAGATTACTCTACAGTACAGTTAGTTTCACTTTCAAGGCAAGAGAAAAACAACTTTACTCTCTGGTACAAACAAACTTGGAGTTTGGGCAGCTGTGGCTGATCTAAAACCACACTGTGGCCCAAAAGGGAAGCCCTACTTTCCCTGCAAAGAAGGCTTTTCTGTGAATAAACCACTGGCTGAGTTGGCAGCCCAGTCAAGGGCCTTTTCTGACTCACTGTATAGCTCATAGGTGCCACAAAACCCCCTCAGCATAACCAGAAGCAATTCACCTTCAGAAGGATTAGTGATGCTCAGCTGTTACTACAAAAGCTAAACCACTATAAGCCAGCTCCAAAACCTTAAGAGACATCTTCTTTTATGATATGTCACAGTATCAAAAGGCTGAAAACTGTTTCAGCTTCAGTCCTCAGAGAAATCCCCCACCAGCCCACGTTCCCTGATGGTTGTCTGGTCTTCGCCCTGTTTCATCTCAGCCAAAAGAGCTGCTGCTGCACTTTGGTTACAAAGCTTGCATCCACACAAATAATGCAAATAATGAGTTACTGCGAGCAGAATGTGACAGTGCTGTTGAGAAGGACTCATCCTGTAAGACTTCCTGCGGAAGAGAATTAATCACCAGATAAAGCAACCCACTAAAGGAGAGGCACAGCTTATCTGGTTCCACAAGTCATCACAAAGAGGTGTGCACACTGTGTAGGTTGCAAAGTAACACACACTCACAGATCAAGGTCCTTATGGATCACCTCATGTGCTCTAAAACCCCTGCCTCTGCTAACGAAGAATATGGAGAAGTGGTTTTGTGTGGTTACTCGAAGACTTCTGTGTTCCTTGCCTTTCTGAATCAGGAAAGTTTTAAAAATAACAATTAAAAGTCCACAGAACAAAGAGATTGGAGCATTTCTTCCTTCAAATAAATCTATCCAAAAATTGCATCTCAGCTTTATTGGAGTTGGGGGCTTACAATTTTTATTGTTTTAATCTGTTAATGTCATCTGTTAATTAATCTGTTAATTTTACATCAGATTGCATTTCTAAGCAGATGTTGTGCTTCCAAGAAAAACAAGGCCATGCAACTGAGGGCACTGGTGGTCCCACTGCCTAGACGGGGTGATGGTAATGGGTGGCCAAGCTTTGGCTGTGTTTGGTCAGGGGAAATCAGCCTGACCTCTCTTACCTTCTCCCGCAGAGCTCATGAGCAGGACCTCCAGATCCAGGGGCAGGTCATACTCCATGCAGACAGACTGTGCAAAGTGCTTCCAGGCAGCAGGACCAGCCTCCTCCAGCAGGTCCAGGAGCACTGAGATTTTTTCCCTGGGGTTGGTGCTGTCCCCCAGGCTGCTCAGGGCTGCCTCGGGGACGCAGCGCCGGGCAGTCGAGAGCAGCCAGTCGGGGCAGTGAGTGAGGAACTCCACCAGCTGGGGACGGGCTCTGGCCACGGCTGCTGGCAGGTCTAGGTCATCATTCTGAAATGGGGGCTAGAGGGATGCAGACAAAGGGCAGCAGTGGGCACAGGAGCAAGAAGAGGTGTTCACCCACACAGCCCTGCAGGGCTTGATCTGGTTTTATACCCCTTGGCCTAACCTAGAATTTCTTACTTTTGCTCCTGAGTTCAGAGTAGAGATCTGAGCCCAGTCATGAGGGTGCAAGAATGGCAGTCCTTGTCTGCACAGTGCCTGACAGCAGGACTGTGAAGGACAGGGCCAATCTCTCTGGCACCAGCCAAGGAGAAGCTGTTGACATCTGTATTGCTGCAGCGGCCATCTGCCAAATAACCCAGGCATCATTCACAAGTACCAGGACCTCTGGGAAGGTCAGGGATGTTTTTGTTAATGTTCAAGAATGCTTACACGAGGCAAGGTTTTCACCTTCTCATAACACCCTACCAACAAACAGGCTGGGGATGCACAAGGAGTTGGGAGTGAACACAGCCAGCACAGCTGACTTCAACTGGTCATATGGCATCATGCTCAGAACATAAGGATGGGGTAAGAAGGAGAAAGGCAGGGAGTTAGAGTGATGATGTTTGTCTCCTAGATCACTATCACTACATGTGATAGAGCCCTGTTTTCCTGGAGATGCCAGAACACCTGCTTGCCCATGAGAAGCTGTCAATGAATTCCTTGTTTTTCTTTCCTTTGTGTGTGCAGCTTTAGCTTTACTTATTCAGCTGCATCTCAGTTCACAAGTTTGTGCAGGACCCCCTGCATAAAGGGCTCAGGTGACTGTTCTTGATGCTCATTTTGTGGGCATGAGCAACCCATTTCTGCTTTGGTGACAATGCCACCTCCATTCCTCTTCCTTCCCACAAAGCCACATGCATGATCTCTTACCTGCATTGTGTAATCAGTCTCCTTTCACTTGTCAAGTGCAAAGGTGGCTTCTGCTCCATATTCTGACAGAGAATCGATCTGCTAGAGGCAGTCTCAGGACACAGACACACCCCAACATGTGGGACATGCCTCACTTGGTACAGATGCCTGGGGATAACAAGAACAGAGCTTGATGTAGACATGCCAGGCCATGGCAATTATGTGGGTCACAAATCTGGGAGCTCTGCCTTTGATCCAAGGGTCACCTGTGATGTTTTTTGTCTCTTCTCACTCAAACCAGCAGCGACCACAGTTTTGACATTTGTTTGATTCACTCCTGGTCTCATGAAAATGCAGGACTGAGCCTTGTGCCCTGGAATGCGAGTGAAGATGGCTTTAGAGGAACATTTTGTGGGAATCACAGCTTTCCTGGTGTTACTGCCTGAGTTGAGCTGGGCTATGCCACTCTGCTGCTGTCAGAGGAAGCTGACACAGAAGCAGCAGCATCTTGCTCAAGTCAGGCAGTCACTCACACCAAAAACACTGTGAAAAGCTGATCCTCTGAGACTGCACAGCTCTCACAAAGGAGTTTCAAGTGTAGGGGGCTGAAAAAGCCCCCAGTGCCAGCTTCCCACCTCTCAGCAGAAAGGGTGAAGGGAAATTTCAGCCTGCTCTGCACCTGGCAGTAGCTGGTGTCCTACCACAGGGAAAGGGAAGAGGGAAGCAATCACCGTCCGATCAACAAGAACAGACAACAACAGACTCAATAAAGCCATACTAAATGCATACATAAATGAATAAAATCAGCCCTCAGTGCCAATAAGACTGAAAGGCATTCAGGCAAAGAGTAAACTCACACAATCAATTCATGTTTAAGATGAAAACAACATGGAAAAGTTGGATGAAAGCTCAGTCACACTGCAGAGTTCCTGTACTACTGCTCTTCCCAAGAATGATCGGCAGTTACGTTCAGTACAATACCTCTGATCCCAAATGGAAGAACAAAAACCTCCCAAGAAAAGCCAGAAAACTTTTGAGTCTTGATGCTTATCCTTCAAATGCAAACCCATCTTTAACAAAATTTGCAGAACTTAATCTCCTCAACTTGGCACTTTCACTGCTCCCAGACACAAAAAAAATTAAACTGAAATGTGAAACTCCTTGTTGCAAATCTACCAACTTCTTTCCTGCCCTGAGGGCACAGAGTACTTACCAGAAGCCCAGAAACAGAGTACCAGCACCAAAACCAGTGTGGGGGTCACCAAACACCAAAGCTGGAGAACAATATCCACTGCCTTGATTTCCCCACGTGCTAACTCACCACTGTCCCCAGGCACAAAGTCCTTCCGTGCCTTTTAGGACCTAATGAACAAAAGATTGAGCAAAATGAAAGTAAAACCAGTGGAAATTCCCCAACTGAAATGTATCTGCAGTAAAAATAGAGAAATTAGCAAAAATATCCAATCAGAACAGAGGAAGAGTAACATCGAAGCCTAAAATCTATAACTAGGTGATAATTTAGGTAACGTATTGGAGAAAGTAGTCCGAAGAAATGGTACGTTGGGCAAGAAACAATAGTTGCTGGATTTAATAGTTAGTGGCATAAACTCATTTGGTTTTGGTTAAGGCACTTGCAATGGGAATATTTCTACTCCCATGTATAAATCCGATTATTCTGGTACACGGGAAAATATTTAATTACCTCTTCCATTATCTGTAAGAGGAAAAAACAAGTTGCTTTTCCTTTGGAATAAGGACAAGGTTTAAGTGATAATGTAGCAGATGTGAATGATTAGATAAAATATCCCATGTCCAGCTAGAGCTGTGTTTGCAGAAATCTTCAGATCTAATCGGATGGGCTGCAACAAACAATGGATTGGTATTAATATCGCTGTGAAAGCCAGGGAAGCTGCATTGGAAAACCGGATGGGGGCCTGTAGCTGAGTCCCAGAGAAGGCACTGTGCTATAATTCACTTATCAGAGGAACAAATTACCCATATCCAGCAACACCCGTGTCTCCGGACAGAAACACTGACTCTGACTCGAGTATGGTGCAGCGATTGAGGGGAGATCTGAAGAGTGAGGTGGATGGAGAGGGTGAAGGTGCCACCTGCCAGGCTCTGCCCCACTTTGCCACCTCCCGGCCCACCTTGTGCCTGGGAGCACAAATCACCAATTCGGCTAAAGTTTGGACTGGAAGACCTCGGCGGTGTTTCCCAGCGCTCACGATTCCCTTCTCTACCCCGGCTTTTCGCACAGGACACGACCATCTCAGGGCTGGGGGGCAAAGAGCCAGAGCTCCCTCCGCAAGCCCGGCTGGGTTCCCATCCCCGGCCCCCGGGCGGTGTCCCCGCTCCCTGCGCTCACCTGCCCCGCCGGTGCTCACCTGCCCCGCCGGTGCTCACCTGCCCCGCCGGTGCTCACCTGCCCCGCCGGTGCTCACCTGCCCCGCCGTGCTCACCTGCCCCGCCGGTGCTCACCTGCCCCGCCGGTGCTCACCTGCCCCGCCGCGCTCACCGGCCCCGCCGCGCTCCCGGACAGCGCCGCGCCGAAAGCGAAAGCGGCGGAGCGGCTCTGCCGGGAAAGCACGTGGGGCTGGCCCGGGTGGCGGAGAGCCAGCTCGGCATCCCCGGGAGGCAGCGAGGTTTCGCTGCTCCCTCCCGGAATCGTTCCGTGCGGTGAAACCCTCTAACACCATCGAGATCAGTAACAGCGCTGCTGTGCTCTCCGCCAAACCGCGCACCCAGGTGCCGCACCTTCAGAGCAGCGCCGGGATGGAGATTTCACCTCTGCCCTCTGCCCACTTCTGCTGAAGGCTTTTTCCTAATATCCAACCTAAATCTCGCCTGTTGTAACTTGAGGGAGTTTGCTCTTGTTCTGCCACTTGCTACCTGGGAGAAAAGACAGACAGAGCCCCAGCTGGCTCCACCCTCCTTTCAGGGATTTGCAGAGTGGCAAGGTCCTCCCTGAGCCTCTTCTTCTCCAGGCTGAACCCTCCCAGTTCCATCAGCTGCTCCTGCTCCTCATCAAACTTCTGCTCCAGATCCTTCCCCAGCTCCGCTGCCCTCCTTTGTCCCCATGGAAGAGGGGACAGTCCTTCCCCAGTCCAGGCCCCACTGAGCAGCCCCCAGTGGGGCAAGCACCTCCATGGCAGAAAAAGGGTGCTTTTCTCCTGCCATTTCCTTTTTATTAATGCTCACTCACCACTCCTGTGGGATGACATGTAAAATAACCAGAGGGCTGTGGCTTGGTGGAAGCCAGGTCCCCATGGTCCTCAGCAGACATTGCTGTGCAGGGAGTGAAAATGTCACCTGAGCACTGTGATGCCTTTAGAGCAGGAGGGAACATGGACAAGCCCTTTGCTGGTACTGAAACATCTGTCAGAGGCAGTGATGGGAACACGGTGAGAAGGGAGGTAGAAAACTGCCAACTGCACCAGGGCTTCTTCCAGGGCACTGTGGGTCCCACCGTGGCATCACACCTCTCGTGCCCCTCGGCTGCTGCTGTCTTGTGGCCACAGCTGGGTCAGACCTTCCTTGGCTGCCACAGAGCCACTGAGGCCCCTCCAGCGTCCTCCCCCACCAGCCTGGGCACCAGGACCGCTGAAAGGAGGGTCAGCAGCCACACAGAACAAGGAAGGGCCTCTGGTGTTGTGGGGGAGAGAGAAGCAGGGCAGAGGGACCTGGCTTACATCCATGGTAATGCAGAGGGAGCAACCACCATGCCCAAGGAGCTCAGGAAATGGAGCCCATCCTGCTACCAGCCTCTTTCTGGGACAAAGTTTAATGCTTTTATACTGCTCTGTGGTGGAAGAGAACATAGTCTCTATTTTTGTTAATGTGATCACCATTATAGGTGTTGGATTTATCACCCAAGATCTCCTCCAAGTGAAAAGACTTTTTAAAAAAAGCATGAACTGGTACAGGAGAATAACTGAGCCACTTGAGATAAATTATTGCACTGTAATAGGAAGGAAAAGGAACTCAATGCTTGACTAGACACTTAAATTTTCTCTTATAATCTCTTTAATTTCCTTATAATTTTCAACGTTTTTCTCATTTTTGATATCACTGTCTCAACAACATGGCCATTATCAGTTTGGAGCTCTCCACTGAACCATCAGGGTCTGTAAAGAAATTACCTGGACACAAGATCTCTGTTATCGTACTGCACTGCAAATTCACATCCCATTCACTTTTTGCAGCCATATCCAGGTCTTTTAGCATTGCTGGTTCTAAGCTTACTTGGAGTTTGGTAACATCATTTGACTTGCTGGATTCTGTCAAAATCAGGAAGATCTTGGTGGAAGTAAAACCCAGAGATGGGTGAGAACGAAAGGTGCTATATTTCCAAAATGTAACAACAGAGATGCCAAAAGGGGGCAAAACCCATTTCTGCTGCCTCCTGAGACTGCTAACCCAAAGCCTGTGCACTTCAAGAGCCCAGCCCTGACTCCCAAGAACACAAGCCCTTTAAAGACCCTGAAAAAATAGTGTGGATTGAGGTGCAGACTTCAAAATCTTTTCAGAAGAAAGGCTCAGTGGAAGCACAGGTGCACAGAGCCTAGAGTGTTTCTCAGGAAAAGGAAATAAAATTCAACCAAAAGTGATTTAAAGCAGCTCATCTTTTAATTGGTTCAGACACAAATTCTCTGGCTGTACACAAGATCCTGTGCTCCTCTGTGAAGGGATGAGCTCTACAAACTTTTCTCAAGAAAATTAAGAAGCAGATGATTTGGGAATCCAAAGTCGAGCTGTACAATTACATATCCCTAAAAAGCGGGGAGAGAACAGAAAATATTATTTTAGTTCTTGCCACAATTCCAAAAGGACTTTGAGAGCTGGGTAGCTCTGAGCTCTGCTCACCTTTCTGGTAATGATCTCAGGATTTATGATATCAAAGAGATCAAGCCTTTTGCTGTTCATCAGTGAGGTCAGAGCTGATCCAATACCTGTGGAATCAGCAAACCCATCCAGTTACAGGGATGTCCATCCTGGCTTGCTGCCTGCTGCCAAAAGCTAGTTGTGCCTCAATGTCCCACGACCTTCAGCCTGACAGAAAACTAATTTTTCCTTCTTCCCAGCCATTTACACAGGGTTCCTCATTCCCCAAGTGTATCCAGCAGAAATTTCAAACAGATATCAACAGAATTTCAAACCATAAATGTGGTTCCCCCCCTTCCCAGTTGTCAGTGTTTTTTTGTGTATTTTTTTCAGTGCTCAGGTTTAGGAGATCTGATGTTGGACAATTTATGGAGCAGGCTGGCACTTCCCCAAATGAAAACTCACTTGAAGTTACTTCTGGAATGCCAGCAACCAAGATCATATTCTTCAGGAAGCTTTGTATGGATGGGTCCTCCTGAAAACCAGAAAAATTAATAGAAAAATGCTATAAAAAGATGTTGTTTAGCCTCTAATGGCTTAGAGAATACTTTTTTAAGGACTTACCCCACTTGGATCAGCTGTGCATTTAAACACTTTAATCTCTGCTCTGAAGGGAAGAGGAAAAAAGGGGAAGAATTGTCACTAAGTGCTGCAGAGAGCCTCTTTTTGTGCTGCTTTTTTAAAACATGGGCCAAAAGAGGCAACTTTCAAGAGGGCACAGTACCAACCTGGAGTCCACAGGCTGCAAAATGAGTTTCTTTTCTGCATAGGTAGCTTGGATGGTGGCTGTGATTTCCTGCAGAGAGAAGAACAGCAGGGTTCAGTCATAGCCTTATAGCAAGGAGCTGTATTTTGGATATTTTGGGTTGTTTTCTATGAGCCAGAGTTCAACATCCTTTTGGCTTTACCTCCAGGTATTGCTAGAGAAGGCCAGCACTTTCCCTCTCCACTTGCATGCCATAAACCCCCCCTCATGCCCACAGCCTCAGTCTCTGGAGCTGCAGGCTGGCTCGTCCACTGGACTTTTGCTATTTAGTAAATCCTGCACAAGACTGGAAATGGCTTTGTAGAGTGTTTCCCAATTACATCCATCTCAACATCTGACTGCATGCAGAGAGAACATCCTAAGGGTAGCCAGGCTGCCACAGGTAGTTAATCCAATGTAAACCAAATTAAAAAAAGAAAACAATCTCTGAATTCTGGCCACTTAGGCTCGTCCTGCTGTTGTCTGCATGTAAATATTCATTTAAGAGGAACATTTTGTGATGCAGTTGCAGATCACAACCAGGGTTTTGGCAGTGTAGGAGCTCATCCTAAGAGCCAATAATTTAGGGATCATCTCTAATCCAGTACTTCTGCAATCCTTGAAATGCATTTCAAGATACCATTTGGGGCATAAGAAACAGCCATGCATATTTCCTTTAACACCCTGCTAACATGGGATACTTACTGAGAGATTTAGCCTCAGCTGTGGTTTAACCTTTAAAATTGAGTGTGCCCAACCCTCAGGTGAGGATTTGGGTTGCTTTTGTGCCTGTCTCAGTCCACAGCTTTAAGACTGGACAAACACACTGCTCTCCTGTGATGTGAACTATGACAGGGAAGCTGTTGGCATTTCCTTTTTCTGCTCCCTTAGATTCATTGCAAAGCAGTTTGGGGTGAAACACAATGTAATCAGGATCCTTCATACAGGCTCCCATAGAGAAAAAGGTTATATTTTGAGCTTCATGTTTTGAGCTTCATGTCCATTTCTGACAAGCTATACTCTTAGTGTGGACCTGAGCTAGAATTTAGGTACAAGGAATGCTCAAAATAAATACATTCCCATGGTGCCTTCACTTTCTCTTAAATATCTCAATGAGACTACACTGTGTCAGATAAATGTTAATGGGGCTCCTCAGAGCCTTCTGCTGCTTTGGCCACCTTGCACACTGATAGTGGGCTGGCCTAGTTGAGGGGGCATTGAGCCAACATGGTCACTACCATCATTCCCAGCCTCAAAGATCTAAGGAACACATGGGAGTGTTAAAATAAACTGATTTGCCTTCTCTGCCTCCCATGGTTTAGCCACCCACCCTCCCCAAAGCTCCCTGCCATTGCTGTCCCTGCACACCAGGATGGTCCTGACTTGGGACAGAGCCTGTCCCGAGGTGTTCACAGTCAGGAGGGGCCAGAACTGACCTTCTCCATGTACAGGGCCACCAGGGGTTCTTCTCCTGCCAGAAGGATGCTGACCTCCACTGCTACCAAGGACCTCACGACTGTCCCTTCAGGCTGAAAGGAAATCTGGGGCTGGGTGAGACTCCACACCTTGGCCACAGAGTCATTGTAGGAGCTGCCTTGAAAAATCTGGTCGAGTAAGGAGTAGAAGTTGAGTCAGGTTTTTTCCATACCAGTTTCATGCCAGCTTGTCACACAGCTGCATTCCTTTTGCAGTCCCCCATTCAACCTCCTGTTCACCCAAGCC